GGCGTCAAGGTGACCTGGGGGGAGGGGGCGGAGATAAATCATTGGGTGACCTTGAAATTTACAAACATCTTCGGTAAAACATGATAGACAATTACATCAAGCTACTAGTAGATAAAAAATAAAAAAAAGCAAGTTGTGAGGAATACTTCCTACTCTGTTTTTCTCTATTATCATCCCCATATGAGACACTGTCTCATACTTCCTCTTCAAAATGTTTCCTTTATCCATTAGAAAACCTAATCTAGTTCCTGAATCTGGTAGTGATAGGATGAAGTTGCCTCAGTCCTGAGTATCACACCTCAAATTCTAAGACTAAGACTAAGACTAAGACTAAGACTAAGACTAAGACTAGGACTAAGACTAAGACTAAGACTAAGACTATTGAGGGTATGTCCAGGCATTCAATGGTTAACATCAACTGGTACTCAACAATAAGTTATAGCCTCTGTCTTGATTATAAGTAAGCTGAATGTGTAGATGAAAGATGAAGTAACTGAAAGAGTTAAAGCAGTCACGTACCCTCCCCATCCTTGGGGTCCCATCCCAGTTTCTCCCCCACCACCTTGAACAGGTCCTGTACGAAGAGTTTGAAGTTTGGGTAGCAGTCTGTGCCGCTGAGGAGTGTGGAAAGGCTGGCGATGTTGGCGGCCAGGTCAGACCAGACCGTGTAGTTAGACTCATTCACAAACGCCTCCATCACACGCAGGATGTCCACCGTGCTCGCTACACCAGATTTAGCCTGAAGTAACAATACAACAAACATTTTAGATTTAAAGCTAAAAAATTTGTTCCAACAGAAAGGATTGTTTTCACCTAGAGCTTTTGACCTCTAGAGTCACTCTGATCTTCTCCAATAGACTGACCCAGTAGGACTTGTAGCTTCTTTGAGGAAGACCAGATGGTTGAAAGCTCTAGGAGAGAACAATCTCTTGTATTGGTACAAAAACTTACACTTGTAATACCAGCACAGATGAACTTTCATCATGATAACATTTCAGACTGGAATCAGCAGAGGCAGACATTGTTATGACAGATGATAAACATGTGCTGGCCACACCAAATTTGACACAGCCAACCAACCATTCTAGTAACCAAACTAACAATACCAGCAAACTGAAATAAAAAATTAAAAAAAGACTAAATTCTTGAGATGTTGAGTTAATGAACTGACCAGTGCAAAGAGGTCGTTTTGAATCCCCAGGCGGTCGCGAGGCGGCAGAGACTGGTCCTTGATGGCGGGCAGCAGGCGGTCCAGCATGTCTGAGCTGTACTGTGTCCGGTAAAACCCTACTGTGCCTGGGTTCAACTGGGGACAGACAGAGGAGAGAAGTGTCAAAAACACACTATATACACTTCACTTCAACCAAGTTAAGGTAGATCCATAGAAGGATCACAGTTCATAAAAATCATCATGTTTTGGCCCTTTGTGTTCTTTACAAAAATGTATATTTCATGTGTGTTTGATAATGCAAAATGTCTTTCCAATGCCAGAAAACATGAATGCTAGACATCCAACTTGAAGTATAACATTACATCAAAAAAGTAAGTTTCTTGATTTATTTTGTATTATGCAATCCTATAAAACTGTGTAAAAGCAACTACTTTTCAAGACTGAAGAATTACTAAACTTGCCTTTTTTGTACCCTTTTTCAGGATATGTATGATGATAGCACAGCAACAGTTAAACAATTCAAATGCACAGAAAGAGAAATTATGTTAGTTACTACAATTATATTCAATGTAAGGAAACCCTTCCTCGCCCCACCTTGACCCAGTCGTCAGGTTTGACGTTGTCGATGGTAACGGTTGTCTCTCGTTGGTCCAGCAGGAGGGTCTTCACGGCGGTGGCTGGTGATTGGCTCGTGCTGATGCTGACTGGAACCATCCACAGCGAACTGTCATCTGGGGGGGGGGGAACAACCAGTTTTTATTGCCCTAACATGCAACACAGCAATGTCTTTAAGTACCAGAGTTATCACAGGTCCTAAGTCTTTAAGTACGAGAGTTCTCAGCTAAGGTTAGAGGTGTTGAAAAACTCATTCTTTCCTAGAACTATCGCAGAGTGGAACTTGCTGTCAGAATAGTGATAGTTCCCTAGGGAGGAGGTTATTTCTGACTGGCACCATCCACAGCGAACTGTCATCTGGGGGGTGGAACAACAGGTTTTTCACTGTCCTTTTTTCATTAAACATAACACCATGAAACATTCACTAGAGGTTTATGATAGATAAAGAGCAAAGACAACAAATCACAACAAGTAGGTGCTGTTGATTTTATCTGCTTTCATTTGCAAGCTACGCTATGCAGTGATGAAGGCTAGACATTCAGGTAATGAGATACACAAGAAAACTGTAAGTTAGATTACAATTTGATTAAGTCTAAAACACAAAAGTCAGATGGGAAATTACTAAACCTGGCAAAAGGTGGCAAACTTTTTACATGGTGATGTTTTGTAAGGCCTAAGAAAAAAAAATGTTGTGCTTCCTGTTTCCCGACTGACCCTAGGAAAAACTGCCGACCCTAGCCTTTTTTTTGTGGACCCCTGAAACTGTGTGAAAGGGACGCAAATTTTTTAGGCTGATGGACCTTTTCTAGCTCCATGATGTGAAACCTGAGTGCTAAAACGTTGTACCAGCTTGTTTTGTGAACACCTGCCCACACCCCATATCCCTCAAAGAAGATTGCTACAAAATATTGGTAGGTAAAGTGATGAAATAACCCTGAGGCTCTTATATCACACTACCAATTTCTTTGCTCCAGCCTGCATTGTGCAATACAACACACAGTTGGTTCGGAGCTGTTGCATACATGTAAACTATGTACAGAGCTCTCATAGCTCACTGTTCATGATTGATGTATTTTGGGCGAGTGTTACGTGTAAAATACCAAATCTGAGCCAGACAATCAAAGCGTAAGCGACGTTTTTGTGGAGCCCGGCGGTGATCAGAACCACTTTGAGCACAGCACGAGATGGCTGCTAGTCCTTCCGACGGTTCATCAAAAACTCCAGGTAGGAGAGTGGAATAATTGTTGTTTTGTTAGCAAGGATTTATTTTAATTTTGTCATGGTCATGTCAGGTTTGTCATTACTTACTGATCCTGGTAGCCTGTGTGCCAGACTGTTTCCAGAGCCTACACAGGCCAGTTTCTCGGCTCCAGGGCCAAACTCATGCCCCAAAGGAAATTATGCCACAGCCCCCCTCAGTTAGGCCCTGATGCTGGCTAATAACTCTAGTTTTAACGTGCTATGGGTCTGGCACCCAGGCTATGATCGTCGCAAACTTCTAGCCTCTACCAGGCTTCCAGAAGTGGCTGGAAAGAGTAGAAATAGGAGAGGCAAACTGTGCTTTTGTGACAAAGCTCCTTCATTTGTATTGCCTATTGAAGTGTCTGTTGGAAGCAGCAGCGTGCGTGTCATCACCTTTGGTGACGCGTCAGGGCCTGGAAACCTGCGCGGCGCACGTGCGGTCGCAGTTTCCCTCGACAACGAGATCTGGGTGGCCGACCAGACCAAAGCACGTCTCCAGGTGTACAGGAAGCTTGGAAGCATGGAAGGCTGTACACCTGGAGACGCGCTTTGGTCTGGCTGTATCCTGCGCCAGTTTGCACCAGGGCTGGGCTACCCAGGAAAGGAGCCGGTTGATGTGTCCTTCGACAGAGATGGCCATATCTGGGTCTTGGTGAATGGGTAGGTGCCCACTCATCAAGACCCAGATGTGGCCATCTCTGTCGAACACCAACACCGATATGGTGGTCAAATTCGACAGGGAGGGCGATCTCAAAGCCAGCTTTAACCTCCCCAACAACGTACCACGTGGGGAATCCCGCGGAATGGCGGTGGGCTTGCATGTTTACGCCGCCTCTGTGACCATCAGACCAGGTGACGTATACGTGCAAGCCCACCGCCATTCCGCAAGCCATCCAGAAGTTCCTCTGGGGCGTCGACCCGCAGCAGCGAATGAAGACGCCAACGAAGGTCGGCGTTAGCGGTGAAGGCAACATCTACGTCTCCGACTACACCTGTCACTACGTCTACCACCAAACTTCCTCACGTACCGTCCGGTTGTGGTGTACATACACCACAACCAGACGGTACGCGAGGAAGTTTGGTGGTCCGGGAAAGAGCGGTGGCCGCCTGAATCGTCCCGAAGGCATCTGAACCGACAGATCCGTTCACGTCCTGGTGATGGACTCAGATAACCAGCGTGTCGTGGTTTGACCACCTCCCTGCGGTGGGGGTTGCAGTGGGGCCGGGAGGACAGTTGGTTGTGATCAACAAAAACACGATCTTTGTGTTCCCCCGTTACTGACAAGGCCATGTTGATTTGATTATATGGATGACATGTGCATGTGCATGGATTTTAGTCCTGTAGTGCATTGTACAACTGTGTGTCGCCCAAGGGCTACAGAAATGGATATGGGCACCACCCTACGCTCTGCATAAGGGCATGGGAGACCTTTAATTCATTGAGTGATTTTAAAAAGCAACCTTGTCCCGAGTCTTATTCACGTAAACAGTAGTAACTAAATAATATATAAACAGCACCAAATAGCAGCTGTAGAAGTGAATTTTGTGAATAAACAGTACGGTGTTGTATGCTTTAATCAGAGCTTGGGGCTTGCTGTTGAAAGGTGCAGACAATTAAGTACCTCCTTTCTAGAAGGATATGAATATAAATGTTACAAATTTTTTCATGCCGGGATCAAAGACCTCTTAAGAAGCTGTTTTTCTCCATTTATTTCCTGTCTATATTTTATTTCCAGATACTTCATGTATGGCTTTCTTTTATCACAGGCAGATTATATGTTCAGAGATTTCTAATTGTCTTGCATTATTGTATTTCACTGATTATGCAAATAAATTCTAATTGGCGTAATATATATATATATATCTATTAAATGTTTCCGATACCAAAGTTACACAAGCTTGTTTTTATTGCCCCCTTTTTTATTGATTGAACATAACAGGATAAAATCTTAGATAAAGAGCACGCAAAGAAAATTAAGTGCTGTTGATTTTATCTGCTTTCATTTGTAAGCTATGTTATGCAAACTTTGTTTGCTGTATGTCATTTTTTGGAAAGCAATGAATACTTTATCTTTATCGGTGAGTGTCAGTGCCTGTGGACTGTTAGGCCATGGTGCCATGATCATTACTTCTCATCATCTTACTGTAACCTGGTGAAACAATTGTGAGAAGATGCACATTCCACTGTGTTTGTAAATGAATGTTCTTTACCTTCTGAAGGTCCTTCAGCACAGAACTTGGACTGTTTGATCTTCAGCACTCGAGACGTCCCCTCCTGGAAACAACAATCCAAAACACTTTGCTTTTTAGCTTCTATGAACTTAGGACATCTGTTTACTGGTACAAAAACACCACACGTTGTTATTGCATGTAGTAGGATCAGAAGAAAACAAGGTGGATGGCACAGTAAGATGCATTAGGTATAAAGATGAATTTGATGAATTTTGTTTCCATTTTTTATTCTGTTTTCATTTAAAGAGTGTAATTGACACAAAAACAAATAATACAGCTTCACACTCCCTGGGGCACTTTGGCTGGTATTTTCTTACCACCATTTTTCTCAAGCTGAAGACCTCAAATTTAGACAGACGGGATGAATGTTTTCAAACAGGTATTCTCACCTGTGTAGCTGACACCTCCAGTACCGGGAAGCCCATCTGTTTGGTCCAGGTGCTCATGATTTTGTCGACAGGTTTCCCGCTGGCCTGACCCAGACTGGCCCACAGGTCCTCTGTGAAGGTGTTCTTGTACATGAACTTGGTCAGGTACAGGTTCATGCCCTTACGGAAGTCCTGCAGAAACAAGACAAGTTTCAGTGTCTCTTTCTTATTCCCTTTATTCTTAACTAACTAATAGTTCACATTTCAAACCATTGTTTCATACCTTTTGCTAGTCATCAAAGAATGTTTATGGAAGACATGAAAGAGAAACACATTGGGAACTTTTGACATGACATGACATGTCTGCGTAAAAGCAATAGAGCGTAGTAGTGCAGCAGTGGCATGTCAACTGGTGATGTCCTTGGTGCTGAAACAGCAGGCCCTAGTCCCTTCTGTACACATTATTCGGTCTGCCAAGCATTTGTCAGCTGCTCTGAGCCTTGTTAGAGCTCCAAACTATACAGTAATGGTTCGCCCAATGGTGATGTCCTTGGTGCTGAAATGTTTACAGTACAACCAAGAGGAGGCCAGATACTTTGTTCTCATTGACATATAAGACAGTCACAGAAATATAAGACATTTACTGGAACTTTTCCTATAGCTACAGATGCTGGTTTCTTATGGATATATTCTGGAGGAAAAACAAGCTGAAATACTTGACATTTGACCTGACCTTAACTGAAAGAAACACCCTTACCTCATCCCCGATGAAGTCGTGCAGCATGCGGATCACCGACGCCCCCTTGCTGTAGGAGATGGTATCAAAGATCTCGTCCACCTCGTCTGGGTGCCCAACTGGCACCTGGGGACAGAGAAATTAGTCTTAACTTTGACTTTATTTGCATCCACATTTAGCTTAACTGCTATTCTTCCAGTGGTCCATTACATAATACAACAATACAACAATATAAAATTATAGCAACTGCCACACATTAAGATTAAGACATGGTAACAACGAAAACCACCATAATTAAAATACAATACATGGTATCCATTCAACACATGCAACAACTGTTCTATCTTGTGAAGCATTCCAGTTCTTAGACATTCGGTACAAGAACCTCTTCTTTTTGGCGTATGTTTTTGGTTTGGGCAGTTTGATAGTGTTTGTTGTTGCTGGTCATGTTTGGTGCTGACTGTTCTTTGACTGGAAGGTGATTTGTTGGTACAGTCTGATAATACAGTCTACAATGGTTGGCTGATACCTTGACAACTTTTTGCACTTAGACAGAAGCCAAACATACATGACACAAAGTGTAACACTAATGGTAGTGGCCGGTTAAATCTTCACACACTCATGTTATACTTTTTGAGAAGGAATTACAAACCATATCAGGCCATGAATAAAATATGATACAGACTGTTTATCCCCAAACAGCTCAGATCTGCCGACAGTTCCTGTTTATGTGTATACAAGTCTGCCTCATACACACTTCATACAGGTCTTCTCTGTACAAATGTCCAATGTGAATATTTGAAATGACAGAGGCACAGAAATTGTCAATGGTTGCATACTCTGATGCACATTAACATGATCCCATATTATGTACTTTATTGCTAATATTTCTGAATAATTATGCTAAAACATGCAAAAAGAAATCCCTCAACACAACCCATGGACATTATCATATCGCCCTTACTGGCTGACACTTAAACATTTGGCTGCAAATTGCCTTTACAGCGGACATTGTCACACATGGCTGAAGACTTATGCAAGAGAGTTGTTTAATAAAGACATGACACTTACACATACACAAACACGAGTTTTACAGAAGAAAAAAAAATGGATCCCACCTTGAAGGCTTTTCGGAACAATATTTCGTAGGAAAACATCTTTAGTGTGGATATATTTCCTGCAGCCAGTTTCCAGCCATGCCTACATGTCTCACAATTAACACCAACAAGCTTTTCCTCCACACACGGTTAGGCTATTGATTGGTTCATGGACGGTGGATAATGTAATTATACGGACTTTGGCTGTTTTGAGCTGCCTCATGAATAAAACATGAGGGAAGTGAAAACCACTCATCATGTGATTATTGTATAGGATGGACTAACAACAGTACAATGCTTCATAAGGTCAAGCACCTATACTGTATTACTTTTGGTATGGAACAGAACAAAAATGCAGGTATTGAAATGTAACTGTTACATCATAACAACAATTTTGCTTTTAGAAAACAGACATATCTCCTGGTAGTCCTTCGTCATGCAGAAGACTGCTAGTGTATCAAGACATATCTAGATGAGAGATTAGAATACTAGTAGAAATGTCCAAATCTTCTAAAATTAATTTATTCATATATTTGGAACAAGAAGAATTTACTTCTACAAAAGATAGAAGAAGAATGAACAGGCAATGCCCTAGCATGACTGTATCAAATGAAAAGGACAATGCCCAAAGGAAAAGAAAACCTTTAAAACACAACACATATTCGTCCTTACAAATCAGTAATTTGGAACAATTGCTGCAGTGATAATGTTATTCCATGTCCCAGATGGTGAGTGTCAGGCTGTCTGCCTGTGGTGGTTTATAGTCTGTTGTTATTGGTGACAGTCTGTGTCAGTCAGGCAGAGCCAGGCATTGGATTGTAGGCTATGCATGGGGGGATAGTGCTAACACTAGAGGCTATGCATGGAGGGATGGCTAACACTTGAGACAGGACAAGGCTGTTAGGATGCTATGCATGGAGGAATGATCATGACTGACGCTAGGCTGTTGCGAGGCTACAGACTGACTCTCTAAGGGAAGACAAACATTGGAGGAAAGGCAAATTCTATGGCATCATAAGGTTATATTTTAAGGCATTATAGAGCTACATCCATTCAAGATGTTTAGACAAAACTTGTCTCTTGAAGCTAAAATATTTTCTGTTTACTTCAAGAATCTGGGCAGCTTTTAAACCTTAGACAGCTGTGGTTGGTCAAGGGTTTTAATAAGAAACTGCAGTTTCAAGTCTTTGCTACCAGTAATCTTCTACCAGTAGTCCTTATTTTTAGACATTGACTATTCACATCAGATCGTTAATGACCGTTGCCATGGCAACACGAGAGCGCTGACGTCCTCCATCAGGACATGTCACATTCCAAGGGATGATGGGTAATGAGCTGTGTAATTGACAAGGCAACAGGTGCTGTTTCCATGGGAACGTAATTATTACAGAGTAATAAAGCACAGGATTTAAACGTGCCTCGGTCTATGTGTGAGAGGTAAGTACACACATACTTTCCTGGAACAGCTGAACATTTCCAAATACTTTCTGGTTCTTACTGCTTTACTCTTTTTACCAAAATGTAAAATAAAGCAGTTAGACTCTTTAACTTCTTCTTTTTACATTTGTATGAATAGAGGACTGCATTTTTGCTTGTAGAATTCAATAAGAACATGTCTATATCATTTGCCTTGAAAGAGATGCTACGCTTGTCAAATGCTACGAGGTTGAAATCAATGAAACATGAATCTATCCTTTAGTCTAATCATTTAACTCTAGTTTAGGGGGACCACAGAAGAACTGACCAACCTTCTAGTTTTTCTGTTCTTGTCAACGTTTCACTGTGTCTTGCTCTGATATTACTGGTATCCTCCCATCTTTTCAGTCACCTTTCCCTCATTCTTCCTCACTGGACTGTTGCTAAAAAAGATAAACAAAAATACAATGCATAAAGAAGTCTCACCTCTATGGGATGGCTGTTCTTGAGTGCGTCCAGTTTTAGCGCTCCGGTGTAGTCAGTGGAGACAAACTGGGTCCAGATGTCATACTCGGGCAGACAGAAGTCCACACACAGGTACTCAATCCATGACGCAAAACCCTCATTCAGCCACAGGTGGGTCCACCATTCCTGGGGAGAGGACGGGGTACAAGGTAAAAACTTCACAAGAAAACCAATCAGGGGACTGAAAAAAATCTGGTTAAGTGGAGAGGGTACCAGGTAAAACCTACCAAATACATTGTACCTTTGACCCAAAGTAGCCACGTGACAAACCTCACTGGGTCAGTATACTGAAGAAGACCAGAGTGACTGGTCGAATTCTCTAGGTGAGAGAACGTCTTTGTGTTGGATCTAAACTTTTAACTCTAAACAAAAAAGGTAAATTCTGCCTAAGATAGAAGACTCAGGGGACTGAAAAAATCTGGTCTACTGGTATGTGGACAGGTAGTCACCTTAGACAGGATTCTTTGTTTAATGGGAAAAATCATTATCTAAGGCACCACCAAAAAGTGGCCAGGTGGTCCTTATGGAGAGGTGGTCATCACTTGTTCTGTACTCTGTGACTCTACATTTTGTATCTGTATTTGTGGAGAATTCCTTGCACTCACCATAGTAACCAGGTTCCCAAACCACTGATGGGCCAGCTCATGTCCTGGAGGAGAGAAAAAAAACTTTGTCAGCAAACTTTCTACTCATGTTCTAAACTTATAGTACAGAATAGAACAAACCAGAGTTTCTACAAAACTAGAATAAAGTTCATACCTTAAAACTGTACTCTTATGTTATCAGGTATACTTGCTGGTGAAGGACAGTTATACCGGCTATACCTATACAGAATCCTTCATGTACAGATACTCACCCACTACCAGAGCCACCCACTGTTTCGCATGGGAAGAAGAGTTCTCTGGGTCAATCAGTAGAGCAGTTTCCCTGGAAAAAAAAGTACATGTATGCTAAATCATAGGCTTATGTCTACGCTTATCAGAGCTGTCCTGACATGAAGGTATATATGTTTACCAAAGGAAAACAATGTTTTTGCTCTTTCTTCTTCTGTTCCAAACACTGACCTGGTCAATGACCTGAACCAGATGTCTCTCACCATGGTAACCTGTGTTGGGTTACATCATGTTGCAATTATATAGCAGGAGGGATTTAGACTCCTGTCTGACCATATATATCAATGTGTTTGAGTAAGAATTAAGTGAGCAGACCATATGCAAAGGTAAACATTATGCATTTGCTTTGCAAATGTTACCTTTCTAGTTAATTCATTAATCTTTAATTTCATCTATGAACACAATGACCTCTCACCTGTAGGTCACAAGGCCCCAGTTCTCCATGGCTCCAGCTGCAAAGTCGGCGATAGCGATCAGGTCGATTTTTGGTAGGGGGTAGGGGATCTTGAAATACTCCTTGTAGAAGGGCAGAGTCTTCACAGCAACCTGGACAGAAAATATTTAAGACATTAAAAGAAAAGCCTTTAATTCTATTAACATCTTTATCTAGACTGTCAGCACAGCTATATTCTTGAGGGAGGAAACAAAACAAAAGCACTTCAAGGTACACAAAAATGTACCTCTTTCCAACTTAGTTAAGTGTCCAGAGATGGTCTTTTGGCCTTGCATTGAGCAAAGGCATTAAGGCTGCACTGATTTAATTTTAGGATGACATCCAAGTGCGCATTGATTTTCGCCTGTTCTCAAAAAACCTCTGAGGCTGAA